CTATACTACTAAGGGTACTTTATAGGAATCCCCAATTTCAGGGATCTACTTTTTGGATCCTCCAAAGGGCGTCTGGGAAGTGGACCTTGCATGACCCAACGATCTCCATTGGTATTGGCAATTATTTGCCCTAAAGCTCCATAGTAGTTCCTTTTGGGGATTACCTTATAGGAGTCTAGAAATGAGCCCCCAAAAGGAACTACTATGGAGCCTTAGGGTAAGCCCCAAAAAGGTAGACCCGCGACACTAACACAAAAGCTGCAGACACTTTCCCGCTTCGACTCTCTCTCGGAGAAATTGCTAGGCAGAGGTGAGAGATCAAGGGGACAGGCTGTTCAGCGTTTAAGGTCTAGGGTTTAGGGTTTGGGGTTTGGGGTTTAGGGTTGAGGGCTTAGGGTTTAGGGTGGTTTCTTGATGCCATGATAAGGATTTGCGAGACATGAAAATACCCCATACAACCTGCCTTTGTATGATGCCTCATCCTGGCCTTAAGAGGGGTAGGCCATGTAGGTCCAGGGTTTACCTTCACCTGCCGAAATCTACGTTTTGTGCAGGGTCCATGTAAACTCATGGTAGCGTTACCTACCAGAAAATGTCTGCCATGGTAGTTTAAACCCGAAGGCAACTATAGGTATAATTACGAATAACTCCAGTTAAAGTATTTTGTAACCTGGCTTATTAAGTTCCATGATCCTCCAAGTAGGGTTGAAACCAAAATAGGGATTGGGTTTAGGGTTTAAGGGTTTAAGGGTTTTGGAATGAGGATTCAGGGCTTGGGTTCAGGATTTAGGGAGTTACAGGTTAAAGGATTAGGGTTTAGGGCTTGGGGTTCAGGGCTTGAGGTTTAGGGATTTGGGGTTTTTTGGGTAGGGTCACACAAGATGACCACGAGCTACCAAACTACGGAACTTCCTTAAACTCTGGCTCCTAAACCTGATACCCAAGCCGTTGAATCCTAAATGTGTAAATCCTCAACTGATACTCCATCTGCAATGGCGTCCTGCTTTAACAAGTCCCCTCAGATCCTTCAAGAAGCTGTGCTCTGCCGGCTCCAGCAGTGGCGGTTCAGGGCCCCCTATTTTGTTTGAAGTATTATATAGCAGTTTCAGGAATTTGGGTTGTTCGTTTAGGGAACCGTGCAAAACTAGGGCCACTCGTACGCAAGACATCTTCAAAGTAAGCCAAACACTCAAAACCCAAAAAATTAAACTGGGCACTAAAACCGGGCAAATTTAGTGTTGGTGGAGCTTTGGGTTTGCAGAGGTCGGAAAACGTAAGACCTCAATCACCCAGACTTTCAAAGAGGAGCCTAACTTCAGCAAACTATGCATCGGGCTGGATGAACCTGAATACCCCAGATCGAAGCTTCAAGTAACAGGTTGCTTGATACCATGCTTAAGGGCATACGCAATGCAGGCTCCTGTTTACTACATATTGCTGAACCCCGAACCCTAAACTCTGAACCCTAAACCCTGAAGCCTAAACCCCAAAACCTAAACCCAAAACCCTAAGCCCCAGACCCCAAACCCTAAGCCCCAAACCCCAAACCCAAGACCCTAAACCCAAAACCCCAAACCCTAAGCGCCAAACCCTAAACCCCAAACCCTAAAACCTGAACCCGACATTGTTGAGATCCCAAACCTGCAGCCCTAATGTAGGAACCTGATTAAGAAAGCCTGGGTCTATAACCCCCACAATAGGAGGATTCATATAAGGAACCCTAACAAAAGCCCAAGGTTTCTTAATCAGGTTCCTACATCATTGTAGTACCCTTATAGATCCCTTATAGTAACCCTTATAGGCCCCCTTTAAAGCAGCCCTAAGAAAGGCCCAAAGGTGTCTTGATCGGGTCCCCACATTACTATGACTATAACCCCATTCTATTTATTAAAGCCCCCAAACTATAGAACTAAACCCTAAACCCTGAACCCTACATCCTAAACCCTACACTAAACCCTAAACCCTAAACCCTATGCAAACCCTTAACCCTAAATCCTAAAACCATCTCTTACAGACCCTTTAAGGATCCCATTGCGGGACCCTAAGCCCTTCGCCATGAACCCCAGCCGCCGCAGATCTCCATGGCATCTGATAGGGCGCCTTAAGGCTTTCGGGTTTAGGGCTTTAGGGTTTAGGGTTTAGGGCCATTTTCAAAAAAATGAAACTACTACTATTAGTTCTTGAATTAAAAAAACCACCAAAAAAACGCTAAGAGCTGACGGTTTAGGACTTAGGGTCTAGGGTTTAGGGGATTTTTTGATCTTGCTCCTCGGCTTTAGGGAACCTCGACCCTTCCATACTGCATGCTGCTCGGACAAAGCCACGCGCGCACGCCTCCTTCCATCGCACCCAAGATCTGGATGCAAGCTGGAAAGAACCTACTAGCTTGACTGGAACAGCGGCCGGACTACACTTTTGGGTTCAGGGTTTAGGCTTCAGGGAAGCCTAAACCCTAAACCCTAAACCTAACACGTTTGGGTTCAGAGTCTAGGATTCAGGGAAGTCAAGTCGCCAAACGCCGCGACACACACTGAAGCCCTGCTCGGGTAGAGTTTCCGAAAGGCAGGGTCCCCGTACAAACCCAGAGGATTTAAATAAGCTTGTTAGAGGGTGTAGGGTTTAGGGCATGGCCTAAGAAATATGGATCCCAAATTGCCTAATTCAAGACAGCAACCTAATGTGAACCTCTGAGGCGGGATGATGGATCCCATGAATCTGCACAGCGATCCGGCCACTGTTCACGAGTAGAACTCTATCCTCAAATTGCAAGTTCGGCCTGACATAAGCTACGAGGGAGACCTCGAGTTGCGCGTCTGCTCGCACGCCCTTCAAGTGCGACTCGTCGTCAATGTGTCGATAGTTGACGGTGCTATAGTGTACTGCTACCACTGCTGCCTCTCTTACTGTCACTGCTACTGCTCCTCCTGCCCCTGCTATGCTCGTGCTACTGCTACTGCTACTGCACTGCTACTGCTAGTGCTGACTACTCTACTGAGACGGTTGGTTTGGGATTCAAGGTTTGGGACTTAAAGGACTTAAGCCGTGTTGCAGTAAGGTCATGCGCTCAAACATATGCAAGAATGTGCGGATAAGCTGTTAGGGCTTCGGGGCTCTTGGCAGAAACTTTCTGACAGAACTTGCGTGTCCTTCTCTTGGCCCCCTGCAGCCTCCCGGAGTTTGCTCTGAAAGGCTGGCGCAGGGGCGACCGCTCTCTAGGATCGGGTATATCCATCGAGCAAGCTCGCACGGCACGACGAGGATATGCTAAGACCAAAGAACTCTCTGGGTTTCAGCTGAATCCTATACCAAACCCATTCACAAAGAGCTGAACCCTAAACCCTAAAACCTCCTCGCACCAGGTGCTTCGGTGTAACTCGACTTCCCGGGAATCCTCACCCGCCAGGGCATGCTGCCTGGAGCACAGAGCCTACTTGTCCCGTGTTGTAAGGGAACTTGTTGGGATTCTGAAGGGTTGCTAGCACCCCAAAAAGAGTAAAGGTTATCTACCCTACTACTAGCCCACTAAAAGTTGAAGTGTTCTTGACTGTGAGTTGTGGTTAAGGGGTCTAGGATGTGCGCTAGGGTCTTTATATAGGGAAGTGTAAGCTCAGGATCAAAGCTTTCGGGATGAGGGTGAAGGCTGTAAAGCAGGTTCTGGGTGCTCCTGACCTTAACATTTTAGGTAACCTTATGAGCCACGACAAGTTCCTTCGTACTGCTTGTAGGATCAAGCGGTTTTGGCGTCCCCAGGCTTCCGCAAGTGGTTCTGTTCAGGAATCTGCCAGGGCCTCTTGGAGGACTCGAACTCCGAGTATCCCAAGGTGGGCGACCTCAACCAGAACTTTGGTGGAACCGACTCCTTCGGCCTTTGATTTGATCCTCCCCTTAAGCCCGTACCTAGAGGCTCATACCCTACCCCTTCTTGAAGGTACCTAATTTTCTATATGACAGGTCCTAACCATAAAACTAGGTAGCCGAAAAGAGGGGTAGGGTATGACCCTCTAGTCTAGGTAACTAGAACCCTGCAAAAACATCCTAGACAACTTTGACGAAACAAACTCGTAGGTTGAGGTTTCCGGGCATCCAGCTTGATGCTTACGACATAACCATAAACTCTACACGCTGAACCCCATGCCCAAAACCCGTAAACCCTAAAAACTCCAACCCGGGACTCTAAACCCTTTCAAGATCCCAGTCAGGATTCCTTCGAGGGTTCCTTGAAGTGTTCTGTATGGGTGTAAGGCTTCAGAGCTTGGAACACCAGGCGTTCGGGGTTCAGGATTTTGGGTTTGGGTTTGGTAAATTGGAGCTATGCTGGTTTAAGGTACTGTAGGGGCCCAGACAATTTCTGTACCGCGGTTAAACCTGAGGACCCCTTATTAAACCCTATTCCATGTAGTAAAATCCCTGTAGTAGTTAGTAGTACCCTGACAAGGCCGTAAGATCTAAACCCAAGACCCAACGACCAAAACTGTCACGTCCGAACAAAGAATCACATCCCGGCTGCTCCACAACACTTCGCTTCCTCTGCAGACTAACGGGTCTCTCTCAGCTTCTCTCCCTGAACTTTGCAACCTCTTGGATCCTAGGCCCTGAACCCGAGCACGCTAGCTAAACCCTCCAACTCTCAGACCCTAACCCTGAAACCTTTCGCCCGTAACTGCCGCAAGTGACCGCTAAACCCCTAAACCTTAAACCCCTTAAAACCCTGAAACCGGACAAAACCCCTAAACCCCTAAACCCTAAAACCCCTTAAGCCCTGAAACCCGATAAAACCCCTAAACCCCTAAACCCTAAAACCCCTTAAAACCCTGAAACCCTAACAAACCCCTAAACCCCTAAACCCCTAAACCCTAAAACCCCTTAAGCCCTGAACCCTAAACCCCTAAACCCCTAAACCCCTAAACCCTATACTTTAAACAAAGGAAATACCCTAAAACCTATACTTTAAACAAAGGAAAACCCCTAAACCCTATGCTTTAAACAAAGGAGGCAGTCCTTCACAACCAGAAGGACTTCGGCACGTCCTCGGGGAGGGATGCGACGTCGACCTCGTCCAAGACTTTCCTCGACCATGCTTCGGCTTAACTCATAGGGATCCTTAGGGGTTTAGGGTTTAGGGTTTAGGGTTTAGGGTTAGGGGGGAGGGGTGTAGGGGACTATATTTCCTTAAATAAGCCTTATTAGTCCTTATTATGGGCCTTAAGGCCCCCTACCCCCCCTCCCCCTACACCCCTAAGGATCCCTATGATTAACTTACCCTTGGTTAGTAGGGAATGGAAGGGGCCTTATAAGGGATCTATAGGGGTACTATAATATAGGGGCCTTAACAATCCTATAACTTACAGTTGGATAGTAGGGAATGGAAGAATGGTAGTAATAGTAGTTATAATTATACCCCATTCCTCCATTCCCTGCTAACCAAAGGTAAGTTAGGGCTGAATGCTCGGGGTTCCTTCCTCTCAGGGTTCCTCTAAAGGCTCCTTTAAAGTTTGCACTGTGGGATTTGCTAATGAGTGTCTTCTTCACTTATGGTTTACGGTTTCGCAGCTGGAGGGAAAGATAGAAGCCAAGCAAGCACTGAGATTTAAAACTAAAAACATGAACCTGATCAGTCCTCTGATTCGGGCTTATGCAGCTTTCCGGTTCAGGGTTCAATCCGGGTTTCGTGTCTTGAGGTATGTTCACAATTATGGTGATCACAGTAAACATCGTGATCATGATAATCCTCACCCACTTCAACATCATGATCTTCATCATGGTATGTGAATCGCCACCACCATCACCACCCATTTCATGAACGTGCGACCATACTCAGAACTGTCTTCTTCTTCGCCATCTTCACCAGGAGCAGCAGTACTGTATCGTCGTCAACATCACCGGCACAAGTACTCTTACTCATCGCACTAATGGGATCGACAGCAGCAGCCGCAGTCTCCAGTGGTGCCCGCAGCCCCAGACACTAAACGACATCAAGGCCCAAGCCTGGCACCTCAGTGCGAAAATTTTGCCATATTAAATTTAGTAATGGAAACACTAAAACTAAGATTCAGAAGGCGAATAAAAATAAGATGACTAATCTAGCAATACAGTAATATATAATAGCGCAATACACTCATAGAGTAATAGAGTAAAATGGCAGCAACTTGACAGTAAAATGATATTTGACATCAATAACAATCACAATGATAGTAGTAAAAATGTTAACAGCAGTAGTGGTAGTAATGATAACAGTGATATCCAAACCCTATATCATCAACGAGCATTCCAACACCCCGAGACGTTTAAGCTACCATGGTCAGGAAACCACATTGATTACCTTGGGTTCCCTATTAGGGTAACTTCAGTTACGTTCCTTAACAACAACGTTGGCATGGCAAATCTCGATCCTTCGAGAGCAACCTGCTCTCGGATTGCCCTAAAAGTCACCGGTGGCTTCCACATGACATGACTTAGGGTTTAGGGTTTAGGGTTTAGGGTTTAGGGTTTAGGGTTTAGGGTTTAGGGTTTAGGGTTTAGAGTTTAGGGTTTAGGGGTTAGGGTTTAAGGTTTAGGGTTTAGGGTTTAGGGGTTAGCAAAGAGCGTAAGACCCGAACCTCAAAAACAGCAACCCTGAACCTCAAAAGCCCTGAACACCAAAGCCCAAAACTCAATCCTCTAAACCCACAAAAAAACCCAACACCCTAACAACACCAAAAAAACTCCAAACCCCCAAACCCCCAAACAACCTCCACAATCTAAATCACCAAATAACAAACACTAAACTCCAAAAACTCCAAACCCTCCCAAAAAAACATAAATGCAAAAATTCCCCAAACCCGAAGCCCCAAAGCCCGAACCCCGGCAGAGCCGACATCAGCCGAAGATTATCCCATTATAATTAGGTTCAGGGTTTAGGGTTTCGGGTTTAGGATTTTTCTCCTCTGCCACAGACTCCTATAATGTCGAAAAGGTTAAGGGTTAAGGGTTTGAGGTCTAGAGATTGTCGGTTTCGGGCTTTTGTTTACGGTTTAGGTTTTAGGGTTTACCTTAACCCCACATGACCTACCTCTTTTAGGACCTGCACAAGTAGACTTTACTAAGATCCCGAAAAGATAGGTTTTACAAGGCGAAGTAGGGTTTAGGGGTTCAACTATCCATGCCGAAGCAACTTCATCTCGCGAGCAATTCGCTTCCTCTCCTTGCCCTGCGCAGGCAATCATCGTTCGTAATACTTAGTATTGGGGTTTAGGGTTTAAGGTGTTTTACTGCTGTCCACGAACGCATCAAATGTGAGAAAACAAGCAAGAACAGCACGCAGTAGTACATCGCAAAATATCAACATATGTAGCCGTATGCGGTGAAAGTGACCATCACTATGAGGCAAACACTGAAGATGGCAGTTAGCTTTGGCTACTTGGCAGGATGCCACCAGTCCAGAGCCAGAGAGTATCTTCAAGAGGGGACCGACGTCGTCTACGGTTTGTTATTTCTTTTTGGTTGGGGGTTAAGGCAGCTCAAAGAAAACATGATGTTGGCCTTGAGTTCTTGTTTCCCCATAATGGAAGCCAACAGATACACCCACCAATGCTTAAAAGGAGCCCAACCGGCCTAACATAAACCACACTTCATGAAAGTTGTGTTCCTTTCTCGCGATGTAAACGAAAGCAGAAACTAGACGATTCAATTTCTGCCAAAGTTGCAGGCGGAAAAGACTCCGCTTGCCAAACCCGCTAAATCCTAAATCTCAAGCTCTGAAGTTCCCTAAACCCCGCCTGAAATCCTGTGAGGGCAGTGAAAACCCTCAAACCAAGCTGTAAGCCACTTGATGGGATCTATAGGGTTCCTTAAAGGGATCTATAGGGTTTAGTTTAGGGTTTAGGGTCTACTTGGAGGATCAGGAGACTTGCTAAGTAAGGTTACAAGCACCCTGACTGGATGCAAAAGTCATCAAAGCTTTTGTTACTTGTTTATAGCCCAGCTAATAAGTCCCATGATCCTCTAAGTCGGGGTGAGTCCTAAGGCCTAACACCTAAGTTTGAACAGTTAAGGTTTAGCACAAGCTTTGACTCAATTAAGGATTTGACCTTTAGGGTTCTACTTGGAGGATCATGCGAAACAGGGCAACTACAGCGATGATTACTTGTAACTCCAGCCGAGGAACTTATAACCTTACATATTAAGTCCTATGATCCGCCAAGTCGGGTCTACAGATGTTGGGGCTTGAGAGCTCCGGAGGTGGAGGGTTTAGGGGTTGGTAAGGGCTTTAGGGCGCTTTAGGTTTTAGGGTTTTTAGGGTGTTAGGGGTTTGGGGTGGTGTAGGGTTTGGGGGGAGTTTGGGGCCAAAGTTTAGGGTTTGGGGCCAGTTACATCCAAATTCTTACCACAACCACGCTATGGCTTAAGGTTGGGAGTCTGCTTAAAATAAAGCCTACCAAATCCTTCTAAACCCTTGTCTGACAAGAGACATACCGTCCAATATCGCCTGTAAATCCTGTACAACGCCCACACCCTTAAACCTTCAAACACAGTCCTAAAAGCACAATGCGCAAACGCAACCGGACAAACAATGCAGTGTAAATCGAAACTTACAACAGCATGCCCAAGACAAACATGTAAAAAGAACAAGAATACAAAAAGAAACTAGCAGATGGGATAAGAACGGTAGGAGTACAAAGGAGAAGCAGAAAGCAACAACAAATACGATCAAGATCAAGTAAGCGTAATGGTAGCAGTGACCCAAATAGTAGTAACAACAGTAATAATGATAAGACCTGCAACAATCATAGTATCAGTTAGAACCACAGAAATACCTACAACAATAAAGAAGCTGTATCTATATATCTCTCTCTCGTCATCTGCTATCTTGCTCTCTCTCTCTCTGTCTCTCTCTCTCTCTCTCTCTCTCTCTCTCTCTCTTCTTCTGCAGGGCATGAAAGGCGTGCGAGGCCTTTCGGCCACGTGGGCCCCCCATTTGTTATGGGGCATATGGAAAGGCGTGATATGTCAGCGAGTCCCCCTGATATGTTTGGTATGTATATTGGCCTATGAAAGGTCAGGGTTCCTCAGCTGGTCTCTCTCTCTCTCTCTCTCTCTCTCTCTTTGCGTCTCTGTCTATATCTGCATCTTTATCTCTATCTCTATATCGATTAATATCTATAGTGACTTCAACGAATATACAAAGCGGAGGAAAGCATCGACCTCGGCTTGAATCTGCTTGCGCCGCTTCTGCGCCTGCTCCGTACTGCAGAAGTGGCCTCAGAGGAGGGCTTCTTGGGGTCAGGGCTTACGGGTTTAGGGTCTCTGGATTTAAGGCTCAGGGTTTGGGGTTTAAGGTCCCCGGGTTTCAGGGTTTAGGGCGTAAGATTTAAGGTTTTAGGGTTGAGGGTTGAGGGTCTTAGGGTTTGGGGTTTACGGTAGGGTCTCACGGTTGAGGGCAGACGGCCTTGACCGGGCCTGCTGGTCAAGAGCGATACTCTGCTGCCATGGGGGATTGGGGATCAGGGTTTACGAGGGGTTTAGGGTTTAGGGTGTAGGGCTTTAGGGTTTTGGGACCTAGGAAGAAGCGCTTGGAGCCTGTTTATCGTGGCGCTTTGGCCTTCGCGGCTTTAGCACATACCACCTCGTTACGTTCACGGTCCGAGCTTGCCCGCCCGAATGTCAGGACCTTTGAGTTTGACTCTCAGATCCTTCTAAATCACAAACCCTGAAACCCTGAAACGGTAACCCTAAACGGCCCTAAACCCTGAAGACACCTAAACCAACCAAGCCCTGAAACCTGAACGCCCTAAAACTATCCAGATTTTGGTGTCCATGTTTACACATAGTTGTGAACTTATGCAGGTCCACTGCAGCCAAAGCATCAATGAGAACAGCTGCTCCCCTTGTAGCATCCTCCTGGTATATGGCATAACTGGACGCGGCTTTGACTGTAGCCGAGGGTCTCAGGGCGTCCTAATTCCTAAGCCCTGAACCGCGACGCTCTGAGGTTGAAAGCTTTCGGTCTTGGCCCCTTTTACTCCACTTTGAGAACTTGGCGACCTGACCTGAAAGAGCCTACGCCCTAAATCCTGAACCATGAATACGCCTAACAAGCGCCAACAAGTACCCTAAACCCTAAACCCTAAACCCTAAACCGATCCCCCTGCCAAGTCCGTATTATGGCCAAATACTACTACCGCGGACTTGGGGGTCGGCCACATACCCCTGAAGTCAGGAACATGCCTTCAAATGTGAGTTCTCATTTGTGTGAGCCGATCTGTAAGAAAGCCCGTAACATCAGACTCCTACTGTTGATGGACGAAAGCCTGCATGACCCCAAGGACCCTAAACCATGGCAATTATGGTATATTCCGTCTTATGGGTAATGGAGGATTTTGTCCATCAACCGTAGGGCTCACATCCACGGTTCTAAACTCCAAAACCCACACAGCGAAGCCCCAAACCTCAAAACGAAGCCCCAAACCCGAACCTGAATCCCTCGAAAGTTCAGAGTTTTAGGGGCTTGGGCCCACCCAGGGGTCGACACCCCAAACACTGGACCTTAAACCCTAAATAGACACCGGAGCCTCCAATAATGATAACAATAGTCGTCATAGCAATAATAGAAATCATGATAAGCGTCGTTGTCAAAATAATCGTCATAGTAGGACAGGGCTTCTACTACCCGGTAACGTTCCACCCAAGCCGACGAAACACGACACTCCACAGGCCCACACCCAACAGAGCCCAAGACCCCTTCATTGAAGAAGGCTTACTTCGAAGGTTTACTTGGAGGATCATGTAAAATTGCACGTAATTGGAACTGGAGATACCTAGAAACCCTAAACCCTAAACTCTAAATCCTAACTGGAGATACCTGGCCTAGAACCCTAGTTCCTAAGTCCCACGGCCCTCTTATTCGGCTTCAGGGTTGTATTGTTAGAGGTCTACGATTCTAAGAGATCTGTAGAAGTTTTTCCGGGGCTTCTAGCAGGTTTCATGAAGGGCTTGTTAGTATATATTGGGAATTCTAGAAGGATGTTGACTATTCGGGTATGTTCCTTGATTGAAGATTATTGGGCTCTCTGGGAAAAGCCACACTCCGTGGCCCTTGTTGGGGAACTTGTTTAGGGTCTCGGCTTTAGGGTTTGGGCTACCACACTTGGCAAAGCACCATGGGTAGCGGATGAATCATATGGCAGTTATGAAACTCCTTTGGCAAGGTTTGTGTCATTTGATGAATAAAATAGCCTTGACAAAGTCACACAAACACCACAAAAACCCCAACCTCAAAACTCCTACCCCGAAACCTAAACCCTAAACTGCTAAACCCCGAAACCTGAATAGGACAACACATATCATCGGAACGACTGATTCCCAAACATGCGTCCTGGACGAAGCGCGTGGGCAACACACCTCAGACGAAGAGACACTTCCAACGGCCATAGGGTTTAGGGTTTAGGTTACCAGAAGCCAAGGGGTAGGATTTGAGGATTTGTGATTTGTGGCTGCGGGTAGTTGGGGGAATCTAGCTTGTGAACCTGTGCCCTTGCAAGCAGGCTCATGGCTTGAATCCAGCCGGCTGCAAGCGAACACTTCTCTGGCTCTTGTTACGGAACTTACCTAGTTTAAGTTTCCATCGCAAGAACATCATTGTTCATGTGGCATAGTTCGCCTTTGTGAAATTCTCCTTAGAAGGTTCGCAACGAGAAACATCTTTTCTGCAGATCTCAATTAAGAAACCCGGAGAAAAAATACAGTACCCCTGCAATTTAGCTACCTAGCGTCGGACGCAAGGAACTCTAAACCCAGAACCCGGAGCTGCGAGTCCTACGTCCAAAGCTTGGAAGCCATACTCGCAGCAGGGTCCAGGCACTGTTCAACGTCTAGGGTTTAGGGTCTACGGCTTGGATTTCGTGAACCTTGCAAAGGATGCTAAACGTGTTACTATGAGGTCTCAGGCCTCTCCGAGGATACCCCAAAATTGAAGCCCAAATCCCCTCAGCCGCCCACCCCTGCCCATCACGACTCTAATCCCCACACCTAAACCTTCTTGACCACCCACGAATGCAAAGCAACAACTTCAATAAAGCCGAACGAACATATACCCACATCACACTTACGTAAATACAGACTCCCTTACTTACATGCTAAGTTATGCATATACATACACATAAACATTCACGTAAACCTTCATATAGACAAATACATCTACATATACATTTACATGTACATGTACATGTACGTATACACATACATATACAAATGGACATGTGTATGTGTATGTATATAATAAGCCTGTACAAACATATACATGCAAACCTTTCCGTAGATACATACGTATGTATATACATATATGTCATTCATGCATGCATACACATACATACATACAGACAGACAGACAAACATACGGACATACAGGCATACAGACACACAACCGTACACACAGAGAGAAAGGACAGACAGGCAGACACGCAGACCGACAGACAGACAGACAGACAGACAGACAGACAGACAGACAGAAAAGTGTGTGTGCGCGTACATATATATATATATATATACATTTGTATGTATATAAAGAACCTCCATCTTGAGCCCGGCCACGGATGGCAAATGCCAACAAGATGGCGTCGCATCTTCTCGGCCTCTGGAAGGTTGCACCTGAAAGGCTTAAGGGCTTCGGGTTGAGGGTTGAGGGCTTGGGGATTCGGGTTGAAGGTTTAGGGTTTTAGTGTTTAAGGCTTGGGGCTTAGGGTTTAGGTATGGGTTGAGGGTTTAGGGTTGGGGTTGTGCGTGGTTCTAGAAGGCTTCTACAGGGGGCTTGTGTCAGGGCTTCTTCCACGGGTTAACGGGACGTATGTCTTTTGATGAAGGGTTTAAGGGGATGGGTTTAAGATTTGAGGTTGAGGGTGTGGGGTTGATACTGACATGTATGCGCATTTACATACATACATGCACACATACATACATAATACGTATATACATGCATGCACGATTCACACGGGATTGACCATGGTTTCAAGAAGAGTGGCCTAGGGGTTTAGGAACCGCAATCTTGCAGCTGAACGAGTCCATTGTAAGGGCTAGGAGCTTGCAGCACTCAAAGCCACGGTTTAGGATTTAGGGGCTTAGGGTTCAGGGGATTGGGGGGCTAGGGATGAGCGTTTAGGGGATTAAGGTTTTGGGGATAAGGGTTTTGGGCTTAGGGGACTAGGGGATCGATGGCTTTTAGGTGAACTGACGGGTTGGGGCTTTCAGGTTCATGATTCGGATCCGTTAGCCCCTTTGAGCCGCCCGAAGAGCCGCCACCTCCAAGCACGACCCAGAGAGACCCGCACTGGACCAACACGCACATCCACGTTGATTGGGAAATTCTTTGGAGCATGGGGTTCAGGTTGTAAGGCTTTATGATTCAAGGATTTTGGGGAACCGGACCTCCCCATGGAATTCTGCCCTCCTCCCTCTTTGAAGCAGTGCTGCATCGACGACTGGGCGTGTGGCCTGGTGTGCAAGGCCTGCACATTCCTGAGGCCGGGCAGGGTTTAGGGCTTATGGTTTAGGGTTTAGGGTTTAGAGGTTCACGACCACGGTTAAATCGGGGTTGGAGATTCGAAATGCCTTTCGGGTTCCGGCACCCAGAGCACAGGACCTTTGGGAAAAAACTGTGAAGATTTTCCGTACACCCTAAACCCTACACCGTCAGCTCTAGAGGGGCTTGCAGAAGTGGAGAGTTCAGGATAACATGAGGGTTAAGGCCCAGGCGGCACCGGGGCACGCAGTTGGCACAGATGTCACAAGCATGAACCAGGCTAGAGGACCGGAGTAATGAGCACTAAACTTCTGCAGAAGGTGTGCAAAGTTCTGACGTACCTCGTACATGACCCGTCATTGTCACCAGGAAACAACATAACCTAAAACCTGAACCGTACCGACCCCCCCGAAGCCATACTGATTTATTTCTCTATCGCAAAATGATCCCTAAACCTCTGTCTTGGAACTACGGGAAGCCTGATTCACTGAGCTGTGGACGTCGCCCAATCTTTCGAGATAGAGAGGTTGAAGTTGGCATGCGCGTGGTTAGTGGCAAAGTCCTCCCACAGAGGCAACTTGAGCCTTTTAGAGTTTTTGGTTTTTGGGCGTTTTAAGGGCTACAGTGGTTCAGGCTTTTGGGTTCAAGTTGAGGTTTTAAGAGACCAAAAACGCGAAGCTGGCTTTCTAAAGTTGGGGCATTGAGGCATTCCTCCTTGCTTTTTGGTCCGCAGTCACTGCTTATAGGCTTTCTTGAAGATCTATGACCAGAGCATTGGAAACAACAGTAGTGATTTAGGATTCAGTATTGAGTTGAACAGCCCCGGATGTCCGACTCGCTACAGGCTGTAAAATCCAAAGGCCTATTGCCCCGATCCCTCATCCAGAAACTCCAAGCACAGTTTAAGCTTAAGCTTTAGCGTTGGGGTTAATCCTCAAGCACTTAAATCAAGAAACCACTAGTGGACAACTGTGGTTCCAAAGTCGTAGGCCCGAGCGTAACCTAGGTACTTGTTTGCTAAGTCCGCCCATCCTGGAAGCACGTAAGTGCTAAACCCTGAACCCATTAAAATATGAGGTTTAAGCTTTGGGCTTTGGGGCTTCTCAGCTCTGAGCATGGCCCTCTCTCTCACTTTCACTCTCTATCTCTCTCTCTCTCTCTCTCTCTCTCTCGGATATATAGAAACCTGGAACCCTGAATCCTGACGATATAGGCGTTGAACTTGCATTTTGCCTAGATTCATGCAGGGACGGACACGTGACGGTTTAAAGTGTGCCTTGCAGCGAGCAGCCCGCACCTGCATGGTCTCGCACGATTCTGTCCACTGGAATGCCGAAATCGGTGTAGCTAACTGTCCCAAGGTGGCTGGATCCAACATGGCAGCAGCGGTCAAAACCTAAACCCTAAATTTGAACCCTTAAACCAGCTCAGGGTCCCTGCAACCGTCTGAACAACGGTCAAAGCTGTGAGCGTTGAGGACACAAGGACATCGGTGAACAGGCACGCGAGGCTCCGTGATCACATGGTGGCCCTGCCCGTATGTCGAAAAAGTATCGCGCCGTGCATCTTTTGAACACTCTTTGGCCGAAATAAAAGCCGCTGGGAACAGCATGTTGTGATGCTGGCCGGGTCCCACACACCCAATCGAAAAGACTTTGCAATGCGCTCTCTGGCCTGACGGACATGGCATTCTACGAATCATCCCAGCTTCAAGCGGCGAAAATTTGCACTCCCGACTCTGGGCTTGTTCTTGTGAGAGCAATGCCACCTGTGACAGCAAAGTTTCAGAGTGTAGATGTTAAAAACGTGATATGGACTACGATCACGGGATACTATTTGCCATCGGCCACCAGATTGATTCATACTCTGAATGGGATGCAAACTGAGCAAAACCTGCCGTGTATCATCTTCCGATCTCGCTGAACGATGATCTCATGCACTATCGCAACTTCACACCAAGCAAGCCTCCCAAGGGCAAAGCGCACGCCGCCGTGCTAAGGGTCATGTCAAGCAAACAGGTTGCCATGGACCGCATCGCTGCATAAACAGAAACACTGGCAGCACGCCGAGCAAAAGAGTGCCGGCCGTACCACAGGCGGCTTGCACCCCTGACTAGGAGGCCACAGGAGCCTCGCAAGGATTCCAAAGCAGCCACCTCCACCAACTGGACACAACCATCAGTGACGGCACCGTTTCTTTTTTTTGGCGTGGGCGGACCTCAAAGACAGCAGTTGCTGCACTCGGTGCCAGTAAGAACTACAAGAACTACAAGAAAGCAAAGAGAGAGAGAGAGAGAGAGAATGCACACTAAGGTGAAACGGGCTGCGACTTGCAGACTTCGCCGGCAGGCATCGTTCAGCCCTGGTTATGTTTCAAATGCTAAAGCCAGACAGATGGAGTAGCACAATTGCATGCTTACGCATGTGAAGGTCCACCTGCCAGGAACGTTGGAGCACTCGCGTTCAAGGCAGGACAAGTAGAAGCGTGCGTCTGTCCGGCGCCCAGGAAATGGCTCTCGCAGGGGCATCGAAGCCATCGAATCATGAACAGAGGCAGCGTCACCACTACCCACGGAACAAGGTGCATGCCAAGCAAGATGGAAGGTGCACCGACGAGTGACGTTATTAAGCCCAGCTTCCCACAAGAGGCATCGCAAGGGCAATCATCTGTAGCCAGTTCGAAAGACGTGCAAAGCAGCCAATTCAAGAAGCTGCAAAGCGCACCAACACTGGCAATAGATTGCCTTGCAACGTCTGATCGGTAAGGCAACAGCACCATCCAGTCAGTTACTCTGATTCCAGAACGGTACACAGCCAACAGAACAGCCCAGCTTCCCACCAGAGTGGGTCTCGCAAGGGCACAAAGGCTGTCCAGACAAGGGGCAGCAGCACCAAGCACCAAGGCAAGGTGCAATCAAAATAGAAGGCTGGTGAGTGACTGCAAGGCTCTCCAGAGCCCAGCTTTCCCCCGTAGTGGGCATCGCAAGGGCCATCGCTCTGGCAAGTTGTTCTAAGGCGCAATCTAGTGGGTGCCCTTCGGTGCGGACATGCGGTACCCCGTGCGGCCGTGCGGCAGTACGGATGTTCTTCCTCAGAAAATCCTCATTTTGCAATAAGGCAGCAAGGCAGGTCCGCGCACTTGAATGTCAAGTCGCACAGGCCACTTGGAAGTCGGTCGCTACCTGGAAACTATAGAGACTGAGCTGCGCCAAGGAAGTAGAGACACGGCGACGATATTCAATGGACGGAAAGAGTGTGTTATGGTCCGCCCTTTTTTGAAACTGAGCAATTTATGTGCCATTGCGCAACTCAGTCCGACTGAGAAGCGGAGCATCTGAGCGGTGGTGGTTGCTAGGTTCTGGGCATGTCGTACCAAACAACGTCTGCCGGCTAAGTCTGCTAGTCGCAGCCTGTCTCACCTTGTCATGTGCTGATCTTGAGTTGTCGCCTCCCTGCTGAAATTCCCAGTTCCAGACTCACCAGAAGGCATATCCTCAAGATTGGGATTAAGGTCGTCTCTTCCACCCATGGTTCTAACCAGCACCCGGAACCTGTATCTCCTGAAAGAAAACTCCGTCTGAAGCCATGAGCGCACGCACAAAGACTCACGATTCCTTTTTCGGGGACCACGGCATGCAGTTCACTGTTTACGGCTTGATTTCGCCTACAACTTCATCCATGACTGTTTCCTAAAGGTGTGCAGCCCTCCACGTCTTGAACCATGCACTGCATCAGGTATGAGAAGTGATCCGTCTGTACAACTCAACCTCCGGAATTCTACACTCCTCCTTGGCTTCAACGTTAGTTGAAAGCCACAAACTCGAAAAAACAATTCACGTGTTGCGGGCTCTGATGCAATACTGGCACACCTTCTTTGACTTTACATGTCCAGCTTTCCTAAGCTCTCGGCAGGTTTCACAGTTGTGAACAGAATGACCTCTCTCAGACGGTAGATACGGTCACTAGCTCCAAGTATCACAACTGGATCCGTTTGGACCGCCTGAGAGGTTAGGACTGCCGGCTTCCTACTGCTAGGTGCTGTCCCTCTAAAACCCCTAACCGTCCTTCAGGCCCAAGTAGCTGACTGGGATTGCGATAGGAGGCAGAAGGAGTCGGCTGTTCCAAGGCTGATGCGGGTTGGTTGGACGACCCATAGGCACTGGCAGCAGTAGGATCGTTGAGGAAGCTTGACGACGCCGGCTCGTTGGGTGGACTGCTTCCATGCACATGCATATTGATTCCACCGTACACAAACGTCGGCCCTTGGTTAGCTTGCGACCGCCTCGGAAGCATCAGCGGGACACTTGTTGCGGCCGCGTGCACGCGGCTGCGCCTCACTCCCGGTAGGACTGCTGACTACGCTGTCTATGGCCTCCTTTAGCTTCTCTTGCAACTTCTTGGAACGCCTGGACCTTGGGTCGGCACTCACCCTGACTTGAGCAACCTCTGAAGTAGTACGCCTTCGGCACGGGGCACCTGCTGCCTCCCACACAAACAAGGTGGACAACACCAACAGTCACGATCGCAAGTTCCCAAGGCCACTCGATCGCAACTCCGGAACCTTTCTCCTCTTCATCTGGTCCTCCTGCACAGACCCAAGTCTGCAACATCATCAGTAGGCCTGTCAGGCATGGCGATGTCTGGCCAACAACCTGTCTCACGGCAGGTTGGTCAGGAGCTCTTACGGGCTCTCCATTCGGCAACTCTACATCAGGTGGAGTCTCTTCAAGTGGGGCCTCGTCGCTGACAAGCTTCAGAAGCCCGCACAGGAACCTCACCCGTTGTGAGGGCAAGGGCTTCGTGAGCAAGTCTGCGCGTTGGTACTCACCCCTGCAGTGCCTCACTGTCCATCCGGATTGCAGCAGCTGCCTGACCTTGTGACCTCGGACCTTAAGGTGCCTTGTGCGTTGGTTCCCGGCACCTTCAATGAAGGAGATCGAGGCGGTGTTGTCTAGGTCTAGGTTGAGCTCGGCGGTCGAGCATGGAATGTGGAGGTCAGCAAGGACTGACATCAAGGCTTCGGCGTATGTCGATCCTTCAACGGCTTGGATCAGCTCAGCCTCGGCTGAGCTTAGCGCTATCAGCGCTTGCTTTGAGGCCTTCCACAACACGGGAACTCCGTACACCTCCACAATGTGGCCTCCGTAGGAGTGATCTCCCTGCGGGGAGAAAGAGGCATCTGTGAAGACTCGCACTGGCGGGGCATCGGCCTCCGGCGTGAGATGGAGCTTGTAGTCCTTGGTGTGTGCCAAGTAAGACAGAAGTCTCTTCCCAATCGCGACAGCTCCGTGGGGATCCTTCGTGACCTTTGAGCACAAGACACCAGTTGTGTGCGCGATGTCGGGCCTTGTCCTTTGGGACATCCACAGGCATTCGCCCGTGAGCTTTTGCGCTGCTCGCACCGTTTGCTCATCAGCCTCTTGAGGCTCACCTTCAGTCACCAAGAGCTCTCGCGGGCAGACAACCTTGGAACGCGCTGTTTCGGGAAGACCATACGCCCTAACAAGCTCGTCCACATAGGCCTCTTGGTCGAGACTGAAGTGTCCATCCTCATATCCACAGAGTTGCATCCCTAGGAACCTTATCGGCGAACCAGGCTTGGCTTCACTCAACCCATCTGTCTCCCAACCGGCCCCATCAAGCAACCACTGGTGTAGCCCTCCAGCAATTTCCCGGTCGCTCACAATCAGGAAATCATCAACGTAGGTTATCAAGTAACCCTTCAGCTGCTGGCCCTTCATGATACGCCAAACTGACGAGTCTGAGTGACCCTGCTCCAGGTGACATCCAAGAAATCTCGCTGTGATCAGCTTGGAGTCTCTGTGCTCACTCCACCACGCAGGGGCTTCCTTGAAGCCGTACAACACTTTCCCCAGCGAGTAGTACTCACCTGGTTCCGCAAGCCCAAGCTCCACCATCCATCTGGGTGGTCGCAGCAGATAACGCCTTGCGGCGTGTGGCGGAATTGGGGTTTGGGTGAAGGCCGACTTGATGTCGGTGGTGAATGCCGACCAACGGTGCCTGCAACCCTGGGTGAGAACCGTCCTCACCACTTCGGCAGGGGCGCCTGCCGCGTAAAGTGAGTCAGCGTCCACGTGGGTGGCTTGGTTTCCACAACCCACTAATCTACACTTACAGCGAAACAGCCCGTCTGATGGACTTGAAGGCGGCTTGGCGGTGAAGACGCCCTTCAGGGCGATCACAGAAGTGGCTGGTCACGGGCATCCTGACCCTTGTGGCTCACTAGGACCCCGGGTCCCAACAGGGAGGAAAGCTCTTTCTTGATTGCCTCCTTCCATCGGTCCAGATTCCCACGCACCTCTTCTTGCGATGCAGTATGTGTAACACTCAGAGGCTCACTCAACGCTTCCAACACAGA